GCAAGTTGTGAACGCGATTGTTATTTTGTATTTCATACATTTCATTAGTACGTAATGAGAAAAGCTGTCGAAGATAATCAGTAGAATTACTTTTTATTATTTGTATCATTAAATCCTCTAATTGCGCTTTTCTCCTTGTCTCTAAGTTGTCTCTAAAATTGTCTGAATAAAAATCAGCACAATGGGAGTTACTCAAGAGATATTTGCCTATCGCGGAATAAAATGAAACCAAATTATTTTTCTTACAATCACGTTTTGGCTGTTGTCTTGAGGGGATCGTTCTATTTCTGACTGAAGTTGGTACATGCTGTTTGATCCTATCACATAACCTTTGGGACGTTCTACCTACATAGCAAGCATCACCCTCACATTTATATTAAAAAATTACATTGCTTAAAAGTTCCGCCGATGAGGATTATTTTGGAGTGAGTGGTAGAATAGTTCTCTTCGAAAATATAAAGATAAAATTACTCTCAAAAAACAAATTCTCCGTAATATTCTTAGTTTCCCTCTCATTATCATCCAGAGGCCGGGCAAGCTAGATGGTCGGGGGGAGGGGGAAATATTCAAATATGCATGTTTTCTATCTTAGTAGCTTCTATTGAAATCAATTGTGGCTATGGATTGGCAAAAATTAAAACATACGAATATATGAATATTTGCCCTCCCAATTATCGAGCTTGCGCAGCCTCTGTTGTTAGAAGCCGTACCCATCCATGGAAGTTTGATAAAGAATGGGCACTTAGCTTGTCCAAAAGGCCTATCCTGCTCTTTATTTGTGAATCAGAAAAGTTTATCAAGCATTTTTTCCGTTTGAAAGAAATATCTTTTTCAATGAGTTGAGATCACTCTCAATGAACTCTTCTGATGACAGTCTAAGCGTTCACTTTATTAAACACTTCACTAAAGAAAACTTTTCTCTGTTTAATGAAAAAGAGTCAAAGCGTGAGTATAAACCCATGAAATTTGCTTTTGGATGAATGCTAGTAAAGAATTGACCATTGCGTTTATGGAGAAAAACATATAGAAATGTTAACTAACAATTTGATTCATGCTAAAACGTATAATTTAAAGACGGGGAAGAGAACAAAGTTTATGCAAAATAATTGACGATTTTGTTGTTGCAAAAAAGGGAAACGGTGTCGTCAACGTAACGTTTATACCAAAGCATATCTTGAGGTTCAGAAGAGACAAACATCTTACACTCATTATAGCCTACGAAAATATTAGAAAATGCTAGCTCACGAGGAGAGCCCATAGCCACCCTATCAATTTGTTTGCACATAATATAATAAAAACTAAACTCAACTCCTCTAGTGGCCAAAAAAATTAATTCTCTAAAACCTCCTCGGACATGAGTTGTACAGCCAAGCGCATCATATGTTCTTTTGGTAGAGAAAATTCTTTGGAGTCAACCCTACATTCTGAAAATGTGTGCGCAAGGCTTGACAGTTTGCTCTTAAAGCCAGGCACTGCTTCGACATTACGTGGTTCAAACTTTCCTAACTGTGACGAAAACATTGTAATTTCTGAAAATATGTCCTCTTATCTAAATTTACTGGGGGGATTCCAAACTTTGGACCTCTAAACAAAACATCTATTTCAATCGCAGAAAGTTTATATGATGAAAGATTTGTTACATGTGATGCAGCTGAGCCAATGTGTTCAAATCTTTGGCGTATAAAACATTTCAACCTATCGTCATTATTCTTCCGTTGAAAAACCCATTTTTTATATCTTGTATCTCCTAAGTAAGCACAAAATCGTATGTGATCATATTTTGAGAGAAAACCCTTTGAAACTACCATCTGTCTAACAAGATAACTTCTCAAATACTGAAGCTTAGATTGTTCTTTATTAATGTCATCTATCAAAAATTTCTTTTCCATAAACAATGTATGTCTAGCCCTGTTCCTTGCTATCCTAGTAACTACATCAATCGGAATGACCTCTGCCTTCAGGCAGGCAACCAGAAAAGAAATTCGGCTTTCCACCTAGCGAATCTTTCCTCAAAGTCTCACCAAATTATTCACGTTACGAACCTGATCACCACTATAGCACTTTTTCAAATTATACTATTTGGTTAGTGCTCTTGACTTAAAACAGTTATTTTAAGAAATATTACCATATTTCTTTTACCATTCACCATGGTATTTGTGGTCTTTACGACGATTTTTAAATTTTTTCTTTGAACAAAGTGTCTAAAGTTTGCAATTTGCCTTATTTGCTTTCTTTTCTAAGTCGTCATTTCTCGAGATTTTTGATGATATCGTAAAATGAATACCAGTTCATTTCTTTACGGTAATATCACATAATTTCTCCATCTTTTAGTCAAATCTTGTGTATCGCTATAGTGCATAAAAGCCATTTGTAGAACAGTGTACCATGGCATGTTTAGGATTCGTTGTTAATACAGGAGGACAGTAGTGCTTTATGCTCCTGGAAAGCATTTAACTAATATTTTAGTCCTTATCGATTTCGTTAATAAGTGCTGACAAATGCCTTTGAGAAATGAGTCTCCTATAATCACAGTGGCACCATTGTCTTTTACCAATTGAGTTATACTAGACCTTTTTTCTTAGGGTTGTAATTACTGCCCGTATTAATTAACTTTGATTTTGTTTCAAGATTGTCCATTTCTCTCATTTCAAGGTATTCAAATTGATTTGTGGTTGGTACGAAAATAGGCGTTTTAGTTTATTGCATGCGATTTTTTTTTGATTTAGTTGTTTGTTCTGGTTTGAATACTTCCCAGGGAGGAATTGCTTTCATTTTCTTTTTTCTTAAGCTTTTCACTAATATCTTTTCTTTGAATTTGCATAATTGTTCTTTTTTTAAATAGTGATTTCGAGCTCCTTCATCTTATCATTTGATAGTTGAGGGCAATTTTGATTTCGAGTTGTTGTACATGATTCTGTTGATTTTCGAACTTTTTAGGCGTTGCCCTGTTTACTTACTGATTTTAGCTTTTCATACCTGTCTTGTTGAGTTGCTTTAGAGTTATAGAGATGACTTTTAAAGTCTTTGCACAAAGAATTTTCTTGGAGCTATTTTACTAAATCAATCAGTTCTATAGTTTGAATTACTACACTTCTGGTACGAGAAACACGATCATTTGTAGGAGCTTTAGGATCCTGTAGTGAATGTATGGTGGCTCAAAGCATTGCCAAGTAGAGTTTAATCTCAGCCATTTCGATTGAGTCATTGTTCAGTAGCTGATGTTCCAATTAGTAATTTTTTTGCCTTGTCTTGTTTTATTTTTTTAAATTTAGTGCAAGAGCTTGAAATCTTTCATAAATTCTAGTATTTTAGATCTAAGTTCCTTAATGTCTCTATCGGAGAACGAACATTGTATTTTTCCAACATTAGGTGTAAATATATGGGAAAGAATTTCTAAATCTATATCTAAATTAACTAGGCTCGCTTCAGCTTTGTTAAAGGAAGATATGATCTTCGCACTTTTTGCTGGACAATTTAAGAAATTGTCTCATGAGCCTGAAAAATTCAGGTGACTCAACGGGATTCAGTCCCCTGAATTTTTCAGGCTCATGAGACAATTGCTTAAATTGTCCAGCAAAAAAATGCGAAGATCATATCTTCATTTAATTTCAAACATCGCACTGCATATAATATTCCTTCATATTCAGCTTTGTCTTGCTTGTCTTTGCACTGCACAAGAGATATAAATTTTTCCCTAACTTCGTTCGCTCTTTTCCCTTTTAATACTAACGATGCAGTGTACCAACGTATACATAAGTCATTCTCTTCAAACATTTTACACGCACCGTCAGGTGAAGTCGAGCTTGCAGTAGATAGTTGAATTTGTTCAAGTATATCTTTAGGTTTTTTAAACTTTCCGTTCTATGTTAAATTCCCCTTTTCGTTTAACGTTAGTTCTTTATCGAGTGTAGTAGAGTAATCATGATGAGATACAATATCATTAAGTTCTTTTTGAGTTTAATCTAATAACGTTTCAGTAGAGCCCTTACGTAGACGACTGTCCGCCATGTTGCATTGTCAATCTTAATTGTTTGTTTACAATAATTTAACTTTCTCACCTTTGATTATTTTGATTAGCTTTTATATCACTTCTTTGTTTGATTAACCACTCAGGACCACTTTCTTTAGAAGACAATTTCACTGTGTTTCTTTTTTAATTTTATTACTGTGTTTCTTAATGCAAGGGCGTTCCGACATAGGTTTAAAAGTACATTATTATTTTTCCTTTTCTTCGCTTTTCTCAACTTCCAAGTTGCTGTTGGAGGTATGCAGCCTCTAATTGCCCTCTAGTTTATAATGCAATCATGGTGAAATATCTTGCTAAAAGGCCTCCGTGCTTAGAATTCGCTTCAGAAAATGTGGGAACATAAGCATCAAAGGTTCCGATACGAGTGGGCCTTCTGTCAAGAGATCTAATCTATGGTACAGTATTCAAAGTATAGCACAATGTTAGAGAAATAGAATTTCTCAAGAAGAAAAAGAAACGTTTGGTTTGACCATTTGGACAGCAAGATTAGTTTTAGTTATATTTGCTTATGTGGAATACGTTGACTTTGCGCCACTTCCAGAATTGTTATACGAATAGACGCATGATCGAAAGAAGAATTAAAGCAAGCAATGTGAAGGATGCCGTAATGCTCGATTTCATAAAAAATCTCTAGTAATTATTAGTATTCATTGAAGTACCCTTTTTCTCTTATTGGAAATTTTATGTTTTTATTGGAAATCACGTTTGAAATTTGTAAAATGTTCTAAATGTTCTTGTATTGAGTGTAGTGCGTGCATCTTATCGTGCAACCATAAAAAAATGAAAACAGATGAAAATTCAAGCATTTCATGTTATAATTTCATTGACTATTTTTATGTCAAGTCCATGGGTGCATAACTGTTGTGTGCTACGTCCATAATATGACGTATGTCTGTCCCCATCACAACAGTTTTTCTTCTCCGGAAAATTGACGTATCATATTATACATTGGACATTCATCAACATCATAAAGTTTTGGATCAGAAATTTTAATGGAAAATAATGAAAATTTTTTCTACTCAAATCACGTTTCATTAATAAGTAAAATAACCTATCGTGAAAAATCGTACATGTAGCTACATATCATGTACAGTAAGTTGTAATTAAAAAAAACCCCAAAGAAATTCATGTGTTATACGTCTTGTGTTCCACGTCATCCTAAAAGCCAAAATAAGATATTCATATTTTCAAGTTTTTTGGTTCTTGAAGTTAATATTTCTCAGAGCAACTTTATCCTGTCGCCAGCTGAATAAATTGTTTTTTGTTAACAGATTTGATCTAGCAATCTTATTTAAAGATTATAGATTAGACGAGGTGGATTAAAACTCATCAACGATGCAAAGTAACTGCTTACCTCAAGATCTTATGGAGCTAATGTTAAAACCAAATTTGGCATTCCGCCCATGCAGGGATGCGAAAGAGATGGTTTTAGAAAGATGTTGTTGTAAATTCTCCCTAAGTTGTTCCATTCGAATAATTTCGTGAGGTTGTACTTTGAACAGCTTTATGGCAGCAATGGATAACGGTGGAAGACTTGGTCTTTCAATGTTCCAGAGGAGCCTAGAGGGCATTCCTGTCGATAAATAATAAAGCATGCAATTATTCATATGATTCCGCAGTTTATGTAGGCAGCAATTGCTCAAAGCTGAAGTGGCATTTTGTCATTTTAAACCATTATTATATATATATTTAAGCATATCAACTTGGTTTTAGCAATTATTTTCAAGTGGAAAATAGAGTACATCTTGAACGGTAATTTTTGCTTTGATGTTATAGGATGATATTGAACTTGGCAATATTTTTTACCTTTAAGTTTCTCGTACACTTGGTTTCTTGGCTTTTTGTATTCCACGCATACAGGACCATGAGTAGTAGGCAGTTTTTTTGAATCTAGAAATTCTTTCGGATAATAACGAGTCATTGGCATATATGAAGTTTGATCCATAAAGTAAGTGTTGAACTTGTAGTGCTTTCCTTTATTCTGCCAATCCCACCAAGTCTTATCAACAAAGCCATGATGAAGAAAGAATTCTGGGGCAAATCCTGCGTTATTTAAACACATTGTCCCACTTATATAACAATGGACATTGTTGTGGTAAGTACGGAGCAGTATTTCAAAATCATCAAACTGATCATATGTTTTTTTCAATAGCAAGTTCATATCCACTCTAGTTGGAAATAACCCCACACCATTAAACCTTCTCCTCAGACACAATTTTGTTGTATTGGCGGCTGATGGGAGGAGCCATTCATGTTCTCGGAATAATCCTGTTTGAACGCAAAAGGTCGTTGCTTGCCCATCACCACCAAGACCCGCCTTGCTTGTATCCCACACGTGGCTAGTGAAAGGTTCCCCAGCCTCTAAGCTCCAATCCCAATACGGCATGGTAAAATCATCATCTATTTCTCTCAAAAGATTTTCGTATTGAAGAACAAACCAACGATGCCAAGGAAGAAAGTTTCTCTTTTTGTGGATACCACGATTGAAGTAATCTTTATGAATTGTTAACAGAGTTTCGTACTTTTTTTTGTAGAGAGTATCCGTCGACGCTGTTATCACTGCGGTTGTATATCGAATGCGTTCCGCTTCTGTCAGATCATTGAACTCTTTTCGAACTCGACAATTAGTTTTATCATTTATTGACAGAGCTTAAAATAAGAAAAAATTATCAGTACTGAAGATCACATGAAAGAACTGTGTGTGAATATTTAGCTTAGCGAATAAGTGTTTAACTTTGGTATGCATCCATCTTCACGTACCATGACATTGAATGGTCTAACAATTCGAAAGTGTAAAATTGCTCATTACATAGTTTGTGAAATATTGCATCAGTTTATATGGATGTAATGCCTTGTTAGTACAGCGTTTCTTTCACGCCAAGACGCAATGTCATAGTGTACTTTATACTTGTATTGCTCAACAATGCATAGCAATATTTTATATGGTTTCATTTGCCAAATTTTATATTTGGCCGCGAAGCTAACTTCTAAATTAATTTGATGAGCACAAAGAGGAAAATGCAACAGTTTTATATCGTTGTACTACTTGGTGGATAAGGTTAACTGTTGCAATTTCGGCCGAAAATATTTAAATCAATGAGAAAAATAGGCACCCATTTTGTACATGTGGGTACTTTATCAATTATGTCGCCTTAAAATGATTTAGATAATTGAGCATGCTTCAAATAGAAAGATATATTAAGAATATATACAACTGTTCAGTCAATTGGCCCAGTCACTGCATAAATCGTTCTTGCGTGTCATGTGACCATTCTCACGTTGTGGAACACGTACAGTTGCATTTATTCGGCTTATTCAAACTTTTTACTGGTTGCATTCATCAAGTTGGATTACTTCACTACGATTTTAAGGTGTTCGGTTGTTTTTTAGGAGCGTGGCTAAAAATTTCCATCTCAATCAATGGAAACACAATTCTCTATTTCTATTTATTCGAAACAGAAAATGCAAGTACTATCTTTTTCTTGTTGATAAAGTTGTTTTTAATGTATCAACCATGCATCTTTGTCTTGTGAGCCGTACGAAAATAACTTCTCACATTTAACGTGTGACGTGGAATGCAAGTGAATCCCAAGCATCCTTACTTCTAGCAAAACTGGTTTTATCTTTTTTCATACCTGTAACAAACGGTAGAGCAAGACAATCCAAAATCACAAATACCAGGAAAACTTCCATTATAGAAATTCTAAAATAAAAAAAAATTATGTTTACTGATTTTCATACGTGTATTTCTGCAGTTTATGTAGTGGTGTAAAAAATGCAATCTAAATTTTGGCTGAACCACAGCTTTGTCTTATATATGAACCACATTACCACAATACCACATTACCCACCTGCTTCCTTTATACATTCAAACACGGAGACGTCTTTAGTTACTATATGTTATAAGTGATGTCTGTTCTTTAGAATTTGTTATGAAAACTGCAAGTATATAGCTTGCATGGTTTTTGTCAAGAGCAAATTCTACTACGCAAGTGCAAGCTCTGTTACATTTAAGCCGCAATACTCGGTTTGCACTCCCCTGAAAATTGAGGACGAACGCCGCTCTTGGCCAAAAGGCTGGCTCTATTTTGAAATTTGATTTGGATACCTTAATGGAGACTATATATAATGGAGACGGCATAACGGCATAACCCCTTTTGCCTACAACCAAATATACAAGAAATATATCCTGTACGAAATGTGATGCTTAGAAATAGACGTAAGAAATGTACGTGCATCTTAGTTAATAAAATTAATATCCTAAGGCATTAGCTCTCAGTTTCTGGAACTATACCAAAATAGGTACGCAGAGCATACCTGTGGGTGGACACAAAACAAACGGCAAATACTATACGTACAATATACATTGAACTTTGAAAAATATTCCAGATTGCAAGTATGTGATATGAACTAAATCAAACGATGGACCAAAATAAGCCTTTCAAAATCTACGCTGTAGTAGTAGATGTGTAGTAAGTTGATCAACCTCTGCATTAGGACCGGATATTGTATAAAGAATGTGATTTTATAAAATCGTTTCGTTTGCGCATATAATTGCATAATCCTGTTTTGTTTATACTGACAATATGTGAAAAAATAAGCCAAGATTTGAAAGAAATGTTAGCATTGCAAGCCATCGCAAACATGAATTAAATTTTGTTTGGTTGAATAATATATGAAACTTGAAGTAAAGAACTAGTATTAAATATAGTTATGTGCAATCTGGTCCAATTGCTTTGGTGAGTAAAACGTAGAGAAAGTATTGAATGCATTTTTATACTTGTCTTAAATGCATTAAGTATTCTCTCGATGTGGATAAACATGAAGTCATAATTACAATGCATCAACACTTATAGTACAGGCCTAACACAATTCAACGCATTGTTTATCTAAAAATATTTGGTATACGCGCCCCGTTATTCATAAAGGGTTACGTACTTGGTCGTTTGAATGAAGAGTAATCTCAAAGCACATTTTTGCAATCTTGAACAGTTTTCAAATTTTGATTTTTGTCCATATATTTGTCATATAATTTGTGGCCTTCCAACCATTTGTCAAACGCTCTTGCATAAATCACATGCCACGCGGATTATGACAATATTATTTTTGAATGAGACATTGTTCGTTCGTTACGTTCATGCCATGGTTAACGCAAACGTGCGTCTACTTTCTTGCCGTATAACATAGTGGCTACACTGCATGCGCCTGGCAACCCACAAAAAGTCGTACTTCTTTTACCTAATATAGCCCAGGAGTGATAATAAACTGCAACATGCTCCTGAAGTTGTCATGCCAAGATGCTGCAGTTTACATAACATATTCTAATTAAAAACACTGCTAGAAGCCACAGTGACAGTTCTACTGATGATGAATTGCTAAAATCAGTAAAATTAATTAAAAAAGAACCGAAAGTCTTGAAAATGGGAGCTGAGTCATATATTGAAGGAGCAGATAACTGGAGTTCTGAGATAAGTTGAATTAGGTTTCAGATTCTATATGATGTTTTGGCAATTATGTACATGCTTGATGCTCATTGTCGTTAGGTTTCAATAACATGTACTTTTAACCTGATAAAAATGAAACTAAAACATGGAAAATGATTCTTCACCATAATTTAAATGATTTTTGTTTATATTACTGTACTGTTCACATATTCATTGAAACAGACATATGATTAAATTCTTTATGCATGCTTTGTATGTATTCAATTGAGGTTCGTCTTATGCAAATTTTTGTGTAAGTCTATCAATCAGGTGTTGATGTGTAAATATCATGCAAACATCACCATACCAAAACATTAAAATATTTATAGTATAAAATTTAATTAATAGTTTGTCATATTTGATTGTTGCTTATATGCATAAGAAGCCGTCGAGAGCGGATGTTTAAGACCGCATGAAAATAAGAGAAGGATGGATTTCAAGAAAATAAATAAATATAATGTTTTAAAAGTTGCATGCAGAACTAAAACAAGCGGTCTGGCAATGCTACTCTCTAGATAACACTATGGCAATACCAAATTCTTCATTTGATGTGGCTGATTGAATTATTATTTAAACTTATGAAGCTTAAAAGCATTTCCCCGACGCTGCCTTTGGTAACAATATGAGAATTTTTTTATAAAATAATAAGTTCTGAGATAAAATGCAGGGATCGCCTTATACTTGGCAGAATTGCTACGATGATAGACGTTAATGGGGCTCATATAACCTGCTTGAATTAAAACTTTTCTTTGTGATACTTTGCACGCACAGGAATTTAGGGACGGATTAAAGTGACAAGGACGTAAGCTAACTGTAGAAGTTCAAAAGATACTCCTAATGCAACAAGACAAGTTGTTTAGAACTTCCATGATGTGATGCTAGGCATGTTGGTAAGTACCCCCAAGACACGGAACACGGAAGATACATGCAGAAGGATTACTTCGCTGCACAACTTGCTGCTGTATATTTGATTAATTACTGGCAGCAACAAGCTATCTTAGCACTTCTATTGGTCAGAAAATGCAATTTACTGGCTGACATTACGATAATGACATGCATAATAAGATATGCGTGATACGAAAAAAATTCAATGGAGTGGCCTTGGTGTATGATCCCTTCATTGTGCCCAAGATAAAATTTAAGTAAAAAAACAATGATTTTTGCTACGGAAATCATGCAGTCATTTAATGAATGTCTGAATCAGTGGCGTGCGGTGACCGAATTTAATAGGGAAGCGCTGGGGGTGAGGTTGGCGGCAAGCCGCGAACCTATCTAGGGGGTCTGGGGGCATGCTCCCCCAGAAAATTTTTGGATTTTGAAGGCTACTGGAGCGCATTTCCCGCGATTTCTGGGAGTACTTTGTTGAAAAAAATGTATCTGTCATGACTGAAACAGTATTGAAAAAATCTAAAAAATTCAAAAACTTTTATAGAGTATATATCACAATTACGGTTTAAAAGTATTACATGTGGTATTGTGATATAAAGTCGTTTTAAGTAAATGGCTACGCGTGCATTTGTATTGTAGTGAAGAAGTAACAGAACGAAATAGTCCAAAATCCTACAACAGATTTACTTGAATGTAAATTCCATCCGTCTTTCCTTTGCGCAAAACTCCTTTATAACGTCCTGATAGAATCGTGGCTCCCCCTGCAAACTTACCAACATCTCCTTCTCGATTGAAATTGTAGCAAATGCAGAAAGTCGCTCTTGCCCTTGTGTACTGCGAAGATACGTTTTGATACGCTTGACAGCCGAAAATGATCTTTCTGCAGAGGACGTACTTGGCATAGTAAGAATGAGCTGACACAATCGGTACACCTCTGGAAAACAGGCTTTCAAGTCAAGTTCGATTATTTTTGATATCATATCAAAAACAGGTTTCGATTTGAGCTCGGCAGATGCGTATACAACGATTAGTTCACTTTTTAGTGCTTGAAGATTAAAGAATGTTCCATATGAATCTTGCAACGATTGCAGCTCTCGTTCGGGAAAATTTCGGCTGTACAATTCGTGCTTTGAATGATCCAACAAAGAAACGAATGCTCTGCTGTTTAAGACTTTCGAATCTAGAGTCAATCTGCACGACAATGGTATCGACTACACAGAAAAACATTTGACGGAAGGACGCCTTTACATCCTCTTCACTTTGCCCGCGTTTCAGTGCTACTTTGACGATACTTGAAGTAAAATTCCAATAATCTACGAATTTTGCTCGTTGTTCTTGAATCTTATCTTTCGTCTCGCGAACTTTCGTGACACAGAAGACAATATCGAACTGCTTACTCTGAATGATATTATACTTTATAATTACGTAAAACTACTCAAATTTCAAGTACATTATCCGCTGTGTAATAACTGCACCTTCTTTAACCAAATATATAAAAATGCTGTAAATAAATTCTAACACATAGAACACTCACGACTGTTGTAAATAACTTCTTCGCTAGTGAATAAAATAATCACAAAATTTACTAGCATTCTAGTACATTGAACTCACGCTCGGAGCTCATACGAAAGACTTATATACAACGCTAAAATCTACCGGATACAAATATCAAAACTACTACGCAAAAGGAAGCGCTTGTCAATATCATAATCTTGTATTACATGCTACAGATAATATCTTCTACATACATAAATTGCAAGACAATAGGCGCGAAATGTATTGTAGCAGTCGTGATTATAACAATTAAGAACAGCCAGTTTCGCGCACAAAATTGGCACGGTGTGTTGCAAACTGAGGCCATGGCGTTGTTTAATGTTTATATTTTGGTATAATGACGTCATGGCAACGTGTTCTCCCGTTCTTCAAAATGTGTCTGGCACTAACTCGTACGTTTCAGAATATCGGAGAGTCGTGTTTATTATTTAGTATCTTGTACCTTTTATTTTTAGTCATTAATTTACGAATTCAACGACACAAGACTGACAAGAGCATAGTGTTTTGGTCATAATGCTAGTCATACTTTACCACAACACACGTTTGCGTGCATTTCGATATCTCTGCAGACTGCGGCCCTGCTTGTTTACGCACATTGTGCGCAGAAAATAATAAAATAACCAGTAAAGCACCTACTACTTTGAATTAGAAATCAGAACATTACCTTTCGCTCTCAGCCATCTTTTAATAAACGATAACATTAACGGCGTGAATAATTCGGATGTCCAATGTGTTGAATATACGAATATTATTCGCGCGCTGATATGTGTTTAAAATTGCGAGCGTACAAGACTGTTGACCAATCGCTATCAAGCGGCGCCCTTAGAAGCGCCGCTTGCCTTTTCTCGATATTCCTCGAATAAGAAGCCTCCAAATCTAGATTGACGCATGCGCAAATGTTCAAATTGAGCTCCGAAGGCAAGCGCGCTTGCCTTGGTTAATAAATAAGAAATTTTTAAGGTGTATTTAATCCACTTGACTGATCTTACAAGTGTTGCAAAGTGAAACCGAAAACCACGACAGTAAATCGCGTATAAATAGCAAGCATTTCAACTGTAAAGACAATTTAGACAAAAGATTACATTGACATTGTTTAGAACAGAAAAATTTATACTGATTTTGCTCAGAGATTGATCCAAAAAATTTTTGTTCGGTAAAATGCTTAGGCAAGCGGCGCTTGCCTACGCTTGCATGACCGCACGCCACTGGTCTGAATCTTTGTTTTTGAACAACAATTTGTGAACGATCTGCATAACGATTTGAAATAAATGATGAACTATATAATACAACAATGAAAGCAAGCACGCTGTTACTTTATACTTGCTTTTTTTACTATAGATTGTCCAACAATGAAAAATGGGTGATAAAGCTTGAGCATATATAAAAGTTTAATGTAAATTTAGTGAGGTTTTTATAATGAATGCATTCAAAATATCTCGAGGTGTTTATATCCATCTAATTGAACTTAGGCACGTTGCAAAATTTGCACGCAACATTACCAATAACATTCAATGAAGTTTTATCAGCTAAAAGTAGGGAATTCAAATTGTAAAAGACAAAAAACAAATCATGCTTCTTAATTTGCTATTATTAATGATAATGCATATTGAGAATATTTCCAAAAAACCTAATACGAAGCAATAAAATCTTCCTTTTCCCCTCTAGTGCTTTTCATAGCACCTCATCAGTAAGTCAAACCTCTGTATTCAGGGCTGAAATCCCGAAAACTGTTTTGAAAGTCAATTATTTATGCAGCCATTCTTGAGCGGTATGAACTCTGCAAAATTTAATCAAAGAAATACAGATAATGCTTAACTTGAGCCTAAAGGCTTGCAAAATTTCAGCAAAAGCTGATCATACCCCTCTGCTTTTTTCCGTTATTTGTATATACACCTGCAACATTTCATCACAAAGTAAAAATGCTTATTTCTCTGTTTTCATTTATATTAGTTGTAAACGGAAAACCAAAAGACTGGCCATGTTCTTTTCTAAATTCAGAAGAGTTTTTACTTGTTTGAGACACAAAACAAGCCTGCTAGGGCCATTCGCACTAGTGTTACAATTTGCGAGAATTAAATTCTGAAAGGCGGGCAGTCTCAAATAACTGACATATCTTGGTTGAAGCAATACAGTATAACAAATTATTGGAAGATAAACTTCCACGTACGCGCCGGCATAAAAGGATAAATGTTTACAGTGAAACCCCGACAATAAGGTCACCGAAATAAGATGGCCGTGTTCAAGTTTCTAGCACAGCGACCTTCAAAATGCAAGAAAACTCGTGGAAATTAGTAAGAATTTATCCGTCCAATTTAAAATAAGAAAATGGCACTTTGACATGCATAAGTTGCTAAATTCATTAATATCTGCAAGGGGTCTATGAACTCCAAACCTAAAATTGCAGTTACATTTGCACTCGAAATTTGTACTCATAATTTGGTGAAACTTTAACTTAATGTAAAATCTTACAAAATGATTTTGGAATAGGAAATTAAGCCTTAATTTTCTATGAAAGATTTTGCATAGGCTGGTTCAAAATGATTCCATCAAAAACTAGTCACTAACCTCGATAATAAATGATTTCAACAATTCTTTTATTCTTTCACTGGTGATGTCAACTTGGTCATAATGATGCGCATCTTCTGTCGCCCTCCATTTATGTGCAATGGTCAAGCACCAGAAAACAATTAGCAAACACATTAGCATACACATCACGGAATAAAGTCAACAATAACCAGAAATAGTACCTGATGTCAATTCTATTTGTGGCGAGAGCTGAAGATCACACTCACGTTCAGTATGACTACAAAGTCCCATATCACAAATAAAAATGTTTCTTTCGATTTTAAATATGCCGAGAATGAAAACGCCCTCCTTGTGATTCTAAAGATTCAAGCTTAGATTCTATACAATCGTTGAAAATCAACAGACAGAAAAACAGCCAGTATTGGCTCAGCAACTATCAACACTTGTGAGCGTCCAAACGTGTTTCCCTTTATTATTCACAGTTAACTTCTTAACATTGTCTAAAATAAAGTGATGTGATCGAATTGCCTAAATTTTCCAACTTATGTGTTTGTGAATGTATCTAAGAATGTGATTAAATATTTTGTACTAATTTTACCTTATAGTGATTCTAAAGATTCAAGCTTAGTTTCTATACAATCGTTGAATGTCAACTTACAGAAAAACAGTCAGTATTGGCTCAGCAACTATCAACACTCGTGATCGTCCAAACGTGTTTCCCTTTATTATTCACAGTTAACTTCTTAACATTGACTAAAATAAAGTGATGTGATCGAATTGCCTATATTTTCTAATTTATGTGTTTGTGAATGCATCTAAGAACGTGATTAAATATTTCGTACTAATTTTACCGCTGATGATGACAGTTTGTAAATTGGTTTGTGTGCGTGAGTGTTAAAGGTTCCAACGATTCTTCTGATCTTTGTGTAGTGTTCAGTTGCTCTTTGATAAGGATAATGTTTAACTTTGTGTCTGTCCTCTATATTTGCAAAGGTTAGGTAAATGAAATTAACAGAACATTTTTTAAGATGAATAAGGGTTTGATGAATAAGTAAATAAAAGAGCGCCAAGACTGATATATACTCTATCAATGCTTTGAGAGGTTTCATTCATAAAATGAATTGTAAACCCTTCGTTTGTGTATGTGATAAGTTTGCCTTTTTATACTAAGTTGGCCGATTAAATACATTTACGAATTGAAAAAAGTTATGTTTGATTTTTGAGCGCGAACCAAAGCTGTATCGCATGCGTATATCATTGTATTCATTGTACAATGAAGCCTCGCACGCTCATTTGCTACTCACAAAACCGTTATAAATTTGCATAAGGATTGAGTAGTTGGTTCATAGACATAAATGATGGAGAACCATTAACGACAAATGCGCTTAAAATATAGGAGGATTGTTTGAAAACCTTTTAGCACCAGCAAAAAAGTTTCTTAAAACAATATAGAACACACAGTCATTAATGATATTCAGAATTTAATTCTTAAACTTGGCCTTTTGATAGTAGAAGGCGTGACTGATTGGTCCTCTGATAAAACGTATTGAAATGTTATGGATAGTCTTGCAAAAATTTCTTGTACTTATTTTTACAGCACCTGATTTTAGTCAAGAATGGAAAACTAATTTATGAATGGTATTTTTTGAAACACATTTCTTTGTACCATAAAGCTTTCGTACAACTTTTCATCATTTTATAGATGGCAACTAGACTTTTTCAAGAATACTAGCCGATACTGAAAACTTTTTGCCAAACAGGCATGTTTAAAAAACCATAGATAATCTCAGTTGTACTTTATAAACGTCCGTCAAAAAACAAGCGTTCTTCAATGATCAATATAATTACTTAGTAATTAGTGCCCACTCTTAGCAATGTGATGTCTGATTCCTTTAATGTGAAAAGTGGTAGAAATAACGATCAAGTTCATTGTGACCTCAAATTCTACTCCGGTAATGAAAATGTAAGTATCATAAATCTAACTAGCAATTGTGACTATGGTCTTATATTTTTTAATTACGATTTGCTTATAAACTGTGCATTTCTGGATGAGGGACGCTTTGAAATAAGCTATATATAAAGAATACATTTATAACTGATGGTTCTCGATAGCTATGTGTTTCGACCACCCACCCACACGCCAAATGCAGAACATTTTCTTCAGTGCTCACTGCGCTTGTGCGGCTACTATGTGCAAACAATATATACGTGCATGATGTATAAAATTCGTCCGCTCAAGTTCAAAAATCAAATATGAGCTATAAGAAAATCGGCAGAAGTCGTTCGAGTCTTACTGACCTACTTTGTTGTTCATAATTTGATGTTACAAAGCACACGGCATAAAGATACACTTGTGTGATATTGCTTGTTGTCAACTATTTATACAGATAATCTAAAATAATCATTGTATTTATCTCAAAGCTTTGCAAAAAGCTATAAACGCAGTGATAAACAAAAAACTTAAGACGTTATACAAATGCAAGTGACAATGCAGTGGTGAAAATAGCGCTCACCTGACACAAATCTGTATTCACAAACTGTTATTATCAGTGGCAAATTTAGTTCGAAGTGCATAAATAGAAAATTTAAACAATTTGATGTGAAGAAACTGCACCACTTTATTTTAGTTAATTTCAAGAAGTTAATTTTATATACTTTAGATACAAGCAAATATTCTTCCGAACAATGAAATGAAACATGTTCGAACGGTATCGAGTGTTGATAGTTACTGAGCCAATATTGGCTGAGTGATTGTATAGAAATCGAGATGGAATGTTACTTTAGAAGCATCAAAAAGTGCATCTTCATTTTTGGCATATTTAGAAGGGAAAGAAATATTTCATTTACAGCGTGAGAATACAAGCGTACACTAAACACATTAAGCTACTAGCGCTCAAGACAAGCCTTGAATGGTGCTGTGAATATGTTTGAATTATCACGAGTTTTGATACTCGCTGAGTCAATATTGCTTGCTTTCTGATTGTTGACGGTTCAACGATTGTATATAAATCTAATTGAAACTTTACTTTGAGAAGTATCAAAAGGTGCTTTGCAATATTTACAATCGAAAGAAATATTGTCATTGACGAAGTTGGAATATGCGGTGGCTATCGTTAAAACAAAGAATAGGTAATCGAGGAAGGGAACGTGGAAGTGAACAAGGAATGCGAAAACAATGAATGGAAGTCCGTAATCTTTAAAACAAGGATCGAGAAAAGCTGAAATCTTTAAAAACAGGGAATGAGAAAAGCCGGAGTCTTTGAAACAAAGAATGAGAAAAGCCCTAATATTTACAACATTAAAGAATATGTAAGTATGCAATACCATGTACATTAAAAACAAATTCGTACGACATCATGTTTCTCAATTTTTCACAAATTTCGTGCAAACGGCTAGTTAAAATCCGTTATTTTTAGAAAAGCTTACGAAGAATGGTTAACAAGGCAATTACCACGCAATTTCATCGAATAGATTGCGAGAAAGTTGTTTTAAACCGAAATATGAGTCTGGGCATGTTGCCAACTGATTTTGGGACTTCGAACGAATTGTGTCCTTCTCGTATAAAGTTAACAAAGTGATCGGTATGTATACAGTAAGCTATCGTTTCTTTCGATTTATGACAGCACAATGTGCCCAAAAATTTGAACTGATTTCGGTCGCAATTTTGTCATTTGTCAACATTGCGTTATTACTGTATTTTCATAATAACAAATGTTGGTGTCAAAGAAACTGTTCAACTTTAGCGCTTAAGATTGTTAAAAATTTTATTCATAGTTCATGCAATTATTTGCACTAGATAGCCGATTTATGTAAATTTTGACTTGTGTCACTCTCTTTCAGTGGTGGATCTAGGATTTTGATTACCGTGGGCAAATTTCATCACGTCATACAAGTGAAGTCCGACGATATGAAATTGATGAAATCAGGCATATAAATTATGTAGGTCTACACAGTCCTGCTGACCTTAGTGTCTTATTGATGTGCACTGTGGTTGTTAGCTTTAATCAATAAAAATGATGACAACATACCAGAATGATTACATAGCAAAGCTCATCTGACATCCAATATTTCTTTTTACAAACAAAATATACAGTAAGCCGATATGGATGGCCCATATTATGAATACTTTTTTAAAAAAGAAAAGGTAAATTATGTTTGATATTTGAACATATAAGAAATGCACACCTGATGCAAGTATTTGTATTTTGTTTTATACATACACAAAGTAGCGTGCACGCGTGGTGGCTACTCACACAACGTTTTAAAGCGTGCATAACATTAAGGTGAGTGGTCGATAAAAATAACTACGAGAAGCATCTATGACAGGAACACTCTTCATAAAAACCTTGCTTTCAAAATTTTTTAAACTAGCAATGCAAGGTTTATAAGCAGTTCTATAATAATAGAAGACTACAGTCATGAACGATAGTTAGAATTTATGATACTTAAAATTTGAACCTTTCCCAAGCTTGGCCTATCGATAAAAGGAACGTTTGACTAATAATTGCTCTAATACATAGCTTTGATGTAGAATGCAAGATAAACATGTCTTTGTGAATATTTCTTACTTTGTAAATGGGTGAAACGCCTGATATAAATCATCCAATTCAAACTGGTTTATTAAATGAGTTTTGAAACACTTATTTTCTATGTAGCTACCATTCTTAAACATTTCAGTGTTTCAGAATTAAATTACTTTTTATAAAAAAACTGGTCCAAAATCAAGTATATCAGCGAATTGACAGGCATGAGTTTGAAACAGTATTAGTAATTTCAATTATATTTCATAATCGCCTGTGTTGGAAAATACATGTTTGTCCATGATCAATATATTTAGCAATTAGCATACATATCAGGCAAATAAGTCAACAATAGCCGAAAATAGTACCTGATGTCTAATTCTATTTGTGGCCAGAGCTAAAGATTACACTCACGTTCAGTGTGACTACAAATTCCCATATCACAAATAAAAATGTTTCTTTCGATTTTAGATATGCCGAAAACGAAAACGCACCTTATAGTGATTCTAAAGATTCAAGCTCAGTTTCTATACAATCGTTGAACGTAAACTGACAGAAAAACAATCAGTATTGGCTCAGCAACTATCAACACTCGTGATCGTCCAAACGTGTTTCCCTTTATTATTCACAGTTAACTTCTTAACATTGACTAAAATAAAGTGATGTATCGAATTGCCTAAATTTTCCAACTTATGTGTTTGTGAATGCATCTAAGAATGTGATTAAATATTTTGTACTAATTTTACCTTATAGTGATTCTAAAGATTCAAGCTTAGTTTCTATACAATCGTTGAATGTCAACTGACAGAAAAACAGTCAGTATTGGCTCAGCAACTATCAACACTCGTGATCGTCCAAACGTGTTTCCCTTTATTATTCACAGTTAACTTCTTAACATTGACTAAAATAAAGTGATGTGATCGAATTGCCTATATTTTCTAATTTATGTGTTTGTGAATGCATCTAAGAACGTGATTAAATATTTCGTACTAATTTTACCGCTGATGATGACAGTTTGTAAATTGGTTTGTGTGCGTGAGTGTTAAAGGTTCCAACGATTCTTCTGATCTTTGTGTAGTGTTCAGTTGCTCTTTGATAAGGATAATGTTTAACTTTGTGTCTGTCCTCTATATTTGCAAAGGTTAGGTAAATGAAATTAACAGAACATTTTTTAAGATGAATAAGGGTTTGATGAATAAGTAAATAAAAGAGCGCCAAGACTGATATATACTCTATCAATGCTTTGAGAGGTTTCATTCATAAAATGAATTGTAAACCCTTCGTTTGTGTATGTGATAAGTTTGCCTTTTTATACTAAGTTGGCCGATTAAATACATTTACGAATTGAAAAAAGTTATGTTTGATTTTTGAGCGCGAACCAAAGCTGTATCGCATGCGTATATCATTGTATTCATTGTACAATGAAGCCTCGCACGCTCATTTGCTACTCACAAAACCGTTATAAATTTGCATAAGGATTGAGTAGTTGGTTCATAGACATAAATGATGGAGAACCATTAACGACAAATGCGCTTAAAATATAGGAGGATTGTTTGAAAACCTTTTAGCACCAGCAAAAAAGTTTCTTAAAACAATATAGAACACACAGTCATTAATGATATTCAGAATTTAATTCTTAAACTTGGCCTTTTGATAGTAGAAGGCGTGACTGATTGGTCCTCTGATAAAACGTATTGAAATGTTATGGATAGTCTTGCAAAAATTTCTTGTACTTATTTTTACAGCACCTGATTTTAGTCAAGAATGGAAAACTAATTTATGAATGGTATTTTTTGAAACACATTTCTTTGTACCATAAAGCTTTCGTACAACTTTTCATCATTTTATAGATGGCAACTAGACTTTTTCAAGAATACTAGCCGATACTGAAAAACTTTTTTGCCAAACAGGCATGTTTAAAAAACCATAGATAATCTCAGTTGTACTTTATAAACGTCCGTCAAAAAACAAGCGTTCTTCAATGATCAATATAATTACTTAGTAATTAGTGCCCACTCTTAGCAATGTGATGTCTGATTCCTTTAATGTGAAAAGTGGTAGAAATAACGATCAAGTTCATTGTGACCTCAAATTCCTACTCCGGTAATGAAAATGTAAGTATCATAAATCTAACTAGCAATTGTGACTATGGTCTTATATTTTTTAATTACGATTTGCTTATAAACTGTGCATTTCTGGATGAGGGACGCTTTGAAATAAGCTATATATAAAGAATACATTTATAACTGATGGTTCTCGATAGCTATGTGTTTCGACCACCCACCCACACGCCAAATGCAGAACATTTTCTTCAGTGCTCACTGCGCTTGTGCGGCTACTATGTGCAAACAATATATACGTGCATGATGTATAAAATTCGTCCGCTCAAGTTCAAAAATCAAATATGAGCTATAAGAAAATCGGCAGAAGTCGTTCGAGTCTTACTGACCTACTTTGTTGTTCATAATTTGATGTTACAAAGCACACGGCATAAAGATACACTTGTGTGATATTGCTTGTTGTCAACTATTTATACAGATAATCTAAAATAATCATTGTATTTATCTCAAAGCTTTGCAAAAAGCTATAAACGCAGTGATAAACAAAAAACTTAAGACGTTATACAAATGCAAGTGACAATGCAGTGGTGAAAATAGCGCTCACCTGACACAAATCTGTATTCACAAACTGTTATTATCAGTGGCAAATTTAGTTCGAAGTGCATAAATAGAAAATTTAAACAATTTGATGTGAAGAAACTGCACCACTTTATTTTAGTTAATTTCAAGAAGTTAATTTTATATACTTTAGATACAAGCAAATATTCTTCCGAACAATGAAATGAAACATGTTCGAACGGTATCGAGTGTTGATAGTTACTGAGCCAATATTGGCTGAGTGATTGTATAGAAATCGAGATGGAATGTTACTTTAGAAGCATCAAAAAGTGCATCTTCATTTTTGGCATATTTAGAAGGGAAAGAAATATTTCATTTACAGCGTGAGAATACAAGCGTACACTAAACACATTAAGCTACTAGCGCTCAAGACAAGCCTTGAATGGTGCTGTGAATATGTTTGAATTATCACGAGTTTTGATACTCGCTGAGTCAATATTGCTTGCTTTCTGATTGTTGACGGTTCAACGATTGTATATAAATCTAATTGAAACTTTACTTTGAGAAGTATCAAAAGGTGCTTTGCAATATTTACAATCGAAAGAAATATTGTCATTGACGAAGTTGGAATATGCGGTGGCTATCGTTAAAACAAAGAATAGGTAATCGAGGAAGGGAACGTGGAAGTGAACAAGGAATGCGAAAACAATGAATGGAAGTCCGTAATCTTTAAAACAAGGATCGAGAAAAGCTGAAATCTTTAAAAACAGGGAATGAGAAAAGCCGGAGTCTTTGAAACAAAGAATGAGAAAAGCCCTAATATTTACAACATTAAAGAATATGTAAGTATGCAATACCATGTACATTAAAAACAAATTCGTACGACATCATGTTTCTCAATTTTTCACAAATTTCGTGCAAACGGCTAGTTAAAATCCGTTATTTTTAGAAAAGCTTACGAAGAATGGTTAACAAGGCAATTACCACGCAATTTCATCGAATAGATTGCGAGAAAGTTGTTTTAAACCGAAATATGAGTCTGGGCATGTTGCCAACTGATTTTGGGACTTCGAACGAATTGTGTCCTTCTCGTATAAAGTTAACAAAGTGATCGGTATGTATACAGTAAGCTATCGTTTCTTTCGATTTATGACAGCACAATGTGCCCAAAAATTTGAACTGATTTCGGTCGCAATTTTGTCATTTGTCAACATTGCGTTATTACTGTATTTTCATAATAACAAATGTTGGTGTCAAAGAAACTGTTCAACTTTAGCGCTTAAGATTGTTAAAAATTTTATTCATAGTTCATGCAATTATTTGCACTAGATAGCCGATTTATGTAAATTTTGACTTGTGTCACTCTCTTTCAGTGGTGGATCTAGGATTTTGATTACCGTGGGCAAATTTCATCACGTCATACAAGTGAAGTCCGACGATATGAAATTGATGAAATCAGGCATATAAATTATGTAGGTCTACACAGTCCTGCTGACCTTAGTGTCTTATTGATGTGCACTGTGGTTGTTAGCTTTAATCAATAAAAATGATGACAACATACCAGAATGATTACATAGCAAAGCTCATCTGACATCCAATATTTCTTTTTACAAACAAAATATACAGTAAGCCGATATGGATGGCCCATATTATGAATACTTTTTTAAAAAAGAAAAGGTAAATTATGTTTGATATTTGAACATATAAGAAATGCACACCTGATGCAAGTATTTGTATTTTGTTTTATACATACACAAAGTAGCGTGCACGCGTGGTGGCTACTCACACAACGTTTTAAAGCGTGCATAACATTAAGGTGAGTGGTCGATAAAAATAACTACGAGAAGCATCTATGACAGGAACACTCTTCAAAAACCTTGCTTTCAAAATTTTTTAAACTAGCAATGCAAGGTTTATAAGCAGTTCTATAATAATAGAAGACTACAGTCATGAACGATAGTTAGAATTTATGATACTTAAAATTTGAACCTTTCCCAAGCTTGGCCTATCGATAAAAGGAACGTTTGACTAATAATTGCTCTAATACATAGCTTTGATGTAGAATGCAAGATAAACATGTCTTTGTGAATATTTCTTACTTTGTAAATGGGTGAAACGCCTGATATAAATCATCCAATTCAAACTGGTTTATTAAATGAGTTTTGAAACACTTATTTTCTATGTAGCTACCATTCTTAAACATTTCAGTGTTTCAGAATTAAATTACTTTTTATAAAAAAACTGGTCCAAAATCAAGTATATCAGCGAATTGACAGGCATGAGTTTGAAACAGTATTAGTAATTTCAATTATATTTCATAATCGCCTGTGTTGGAAAATACATGTTTGTCCATGATCAATATATTTAGCAATTAGCATACATATCAGGCAAATAAGTCAACAATAGCCGAAAATAGTACCTGATGTCTAATTCTATTTGTGGCCAGAGCTAAAGATTACACTCACGTTCAGTGTGACTACAAATTCCCATATCACAAATAAAAATGTTTCTTTCGATTTTAGATATGCCGAAAACGAAAACGCACCTTATAGTGATTCTAAAGATTCAAGCTCAGTTTCTATACAATCGTTGAACGTAAACTGACAGAAAAACAATCAGTATTGGCTCAGCAACTATCAACACTCGTGATCGTCCAAACGTGTTTCCCTTTATTATTCACAGTTAACTTCTTAACATTGACTAAAATAAAGTGATGTATCGAATTGCCTAAATTTTCCAACTTATGTGTTTGTGAATGCATCTAAGAATGTGATTAAATATTTTGTACTAATTTTACCTTATAGTGATTCTAAAGATTCAAGCTTAGTTTCTATACAATCGTTGAATGTCAACTGACAGAAAAACAGTCAGTATTGGCTCAGCAACTATCAACACTCGTGATCGTCCAAACGTGTTTCCCTTTATTATTCACAGTTAACTTCTTAACATTGACTAAAATAAAGTGATGTATCGAATTGCCTAAATTTTCCAACTTATGTGTTTGTGAATGCATCTAAGAACGTGATTAAATATTTCGTACTAATTTTACCGCTGATGATGACAGTTTGTAAATTGGTTTGTGTGCGTGAGTGTTAAAGGTTCTAACGATTCTTCTAATCTTTGTGTAGTGTTCAGTTGCTCTTTGATAAGGATAATGTTTAACTTCGTGTCTGTCCTCTATATTTGCAAAGGTTAGGTAAATGAAATTAACAGAACATTTTTTAAGATGAATAAGGGTTTGATGAATAAGTAAATAAAAGAGCGCTAATACTGATATATGTTCTATCAATGCTTTGATAGGTTTCATTCATAAAATGAATTGTAAACCCTTCGTTTGTGTATGTGATAAGTTTGCCTTTTTATACTAGAAAAAAGTTATGTTTGATTTTTGAGCGCGAGCCAAAGCTGTATCTCATGCGTATATCATTGTATTCATTGTACAATGAAGCCTCGCACGCTCATTTGCTACTCACAAAACCGTTATAACTTTGCATAAGGATTGAGTAGTTGATTCATAGACATAAATGATGGAGAACCATTAACGACAAATGCGCTTAAAATATAGGAGGATTGTTTGAAAACCTTCTAACACCAGCATAAAAGTTTCTTAAAACAACATAGAACACACAGTCATTAATGATATTCAGAATTTAATTCTTAAACTAGGCCTTTTGATATTAGAATGCGTGACTGATTAGTCCTCTGATAAATCATATTGAAATGGTATGGATAGTCTTGCAAACATTTCTTGTACTTATTTTTACAGCACCTGATTTTAGTCAATAATGAAAAACTAATTTATGAATGGTATTTTTTGAAACACATTTCTTTGTACCATAAAGCTTTCGTACAACTTTTCATCATTTTATAAATGGCATCTACACTTTTTCAAGAAAACTAGCCGATACTGAAAAACTTTTTTGGCAAACAGGCATGTTTAAAAAACCAGGGGCGGATCTAGAGTATGTCAAATCCGTCGCGCGACTGATGTTTGAAATTCAAAAATTACCTATTCATATTAATTAAAAAATCATTAATTATTCTTACTTTATTATCGCATTTACGTCGTGATAAAAATCCAGCTTTAATTATTATTGAGAACTAATGACTAATGCAATGAATATCTCGTTGGTAACCAGATCATTTGAATTTTAATTGACCTGGAATAATCGACTGATAAGCGGGGTAACTTGACTGGTTCGACTGATACAGGATTATTTCATTGGTCAATAGCCAGATCAGTGGACGATCTGGAATAATCTCGACCGATAAGCAAGACCGATGAACTATAAGGGAGTCCACTTGCTATCGTGAGTAGTTAAGGTGCAGGTATGGTCCCGGAAGTAAACGGAGCTCTTACCCGTGTCAATTAGTTTCCAGTCCTAGGAAGTAAACAGGGCGCGCGCGTGTAAACCGGAAACGATATAAAATGAACGAAGGTTGCTATTGGATGACATGATTATTGAGTTAAAGTTATTTGGTAATTTTTGTCTTACTAAAACGAAAATGGCTTTAAAAATAGACATTGACCAAGCAAAGAAAGTGAAGGAATCGACCTTCGAATTTGAAGATGAGAGCCATGTTTTAGATGAACGCCAAAGCAATTTACAGAATAAATTGTTGAAGTGCTATGCTACTGAAATTAGTTTTAAAATATATGATCTTGTGGCAAAAGACTGTGACGGTTGTCGCGTTGACCAACCATCACAAAAACGCCACGAATGCTTGATGATGCCTAATGATGAAAGGGTAGCGATTTACTTTGAAGATGCAGTATCAAAAATTGATGAGGAAGAAGTCATGAAATCCTTCTTTGATAGTTTACAAGACATGACTCCGATAGTAAATGGGCTAGAACTTATCAAGTACACTTGCAATGATTGGAGAAAAATATTTTTGACAGAAAAATAGAACAAATTAGAACATGAGACGTTGATATTCTTAAATAAATTTTATTGAAATAAAGCATTTTTATTTTATTGGAAAAAACTAGCAACGATCACTCTGAAATAAAAAGAAATCAATCTTACTGTATCAATTTTCAAAAAGATAAAGAATTATAAAAATACATACTCAAAAAAATCTTCGAGAAATCTGTCGACTTCTTCGTCAAAACATCTAGAGTATAACGCAATGGACATTACATAAAAAAAAACACGACGACAACATTCAGCAAGCATATTAATTATTTGACTTACAAGCATATGGGACATTGAAATGGCAAGCATTCCACAAGCCTCTCTTCTACCAAAGGTAAATGTACTTTATGCCCGCAGCTCGGTGGACAGATCAACCATAGTTTGCAGTGTTCACATTGGCCTAAAACAATGAAGAAAATCACAATTTAAATTTACTAAAGTCATATCTAACATTGAAATTGTATTCCAATTCAACTTACTCAAAATGGGCCTAATTGTTTGAGATGTAGCCATTCCTCTATCTGTTGTTTCTCTTTGCTCTCTTTGCCTTCGCCGTTGACTGATGATTTTTGCCTAAGACTTTGGCGTGAGTCCTTTTACATGCACATTATTGACATAGGCTCTTTTGTTAGCAGTAATTTTCCAATGGATCGATTATTTCCTTGGCAAGCGTGCGTTTCAGATTGAATGAAGGCGTTAAAGTATTAAAACAGTAAATTAACTCGTATGTATGCAGGCCTAATGTATTTCAAACACCTCCAATTAAGATTGTGAAATAACGTGCAAAGTCATTGTTAGTTTTGGTTTGGAAAAATATTATGTATCATAACTGTCTTAAAAATTATAGCTATGAGTCTTAACAATTATTATCTCTGCAATTTTCAACTTGTCATTATACTTTGTCATTACAATTATAATCGGCTAGCACAGCTAGAGTCCACATATTTATGAAACTTATGTTTACTATTTTGGTATTTTTCATGGGAAAAAATTTTGCTTTTCCAATGGATCGATTATTTCCTTGGCAAGCGTGCGTTTCAGATTGAATGAAGGCATTAAAGCATTAAAACAGTAAATTAACTCGTATGTATGCAGGCCTAATGTATTTCAAACACCTCCAATTAAGATTGTGAAATAACGTGCAAGGTCATTGTTAGTTTTGGTTTGGAAAAAATACTATGTATCATAACTGTCTTATAAATTATAGCTATGAGTCTTAACAATTGTTATCTCTGCAATTTTAAACTTGTCATTATAGTATGAAAACAAGCAATAAGAAATTTTTCATCATTCGTGTGGAGAAAGAATTGTGATGGAAATATGATTAAAAGAAGCCTTAATCAAACAATTAAAAAAAAATGTAGACAAAACTTAATCCTTGAGGTAATTATAACCGGCTAGCACAGCTAGAGTCCACATATTTATGAAACTGTAGGATTACTATTTTGGTATTTTCATGGTAAAAAATTTTGACGGAAATATGATTAAAAGAAGCCTTAGTCAAACAATTAAAAAAAATGTAGACAAAACTTAATCCTTGAGGTAATTATAATCGTTATGTATGGACGCGTGGAAAAAATAGAGAAAAATACCTCGTTTTTTGAAAAATACCCGGCTACGTGTGGACAAAATCTTAAACATAGTCAGAACCTGCGCATTGCAAAGTTAAATAATTCCTATTTTCGTATCGTTAATATGGAGAAAGGATTTTGATGGAAATATGATTAAAAGAAGCCTTAATCAAACAATTAAAAAAAAAATGTAGACAAAACTTAATCCTTGAGGTAATTGTAACCGGCTAGCACAGCTAGAGTCCACATATTTATGAAACTGTAGGATTACTATTTTGGTATTTTTCATGGGAAAAAAATTTGACGGAAATATGATTAAAAGAAGCCTTAATCAAATAATTGAAAAAATGCCGACAAAATGGAGTCATTGGGACATTATAAAAACTCAAGCACTGCAGATCGTATGCATTAATTGGACAAACGTTTTGCAGCCAGAGATAGAAAAAAAGAACCAAGGAAGAAAATGGTTTCTATTGAGAAGCACAGATGCTTTTGCAAAAACGGCGGTCTGAAACGTTTTACTTCCAACGAGGGCCGCGTCTTCCTAAAGTGCGCCAAAGAAAAATGTAATTTATTCACGCCCGAAGAAAAGTACTTGCAGCTTATAGACGTGTACGAGAAGAATGTGCTGAAGGAATTCAAGCCGAACCGTTTTTCACTCTGCGAGTGCCAAGTGTTTGCATGTCTGTGGGTATCGAACTCGGCCAACTTTCCTGGCCGACCCTACTTTTGTTGCAAGTATATGGCAAGTGAAAAGAAATGTTCACTCTTTCATTGGGCTGACGAATCCATGAAAGGCATTGGAAAAACTAAAAAACCATCAGCGCCCAAAAGAGAGTCGAGCACTAAGGTACCAAAAGCTGAAGAATCAAAGCGCTCCAAAATAATTGTGGAAAATTCATCCGATGATGAAGAAAACTGATGTCCAAAGACATAATTTACAAACTTTAAAACTTTAAATTCCATATAATCTTGATGTGTTTACAATATAATCTATGTATGAATTTAAATTTCAAAACTATTTTTTTGCTTATTACATCATGACATGCGCAATGACGATCTCTGTAGGGGGTAAAGTACTATAAGAAAAGGGCTAGGTTGGATCTATTTTATATCAGGTCAGCTTTACCAAGAGTGATCAATAGTAGTTTCTTAATTTGTTTTGATATGGATTCATATGACCTGCGTTTGAAGAAACGTGCTGAGCGTAAAAATGCGAAAGCAAAACGTCTTATAAGAAAAATCCAGAAAGAATTGGCTAAGCCAATATCGGACTTACGCAAAGTCTTACGTTGGCAAGAAAAAACTGCCAAGCTACTAGAACAAAAGTTCAAGCTGCTGAAAAAAATAGATGAACGTTTGGCTTATCTCTCCGAAGACACAATACACTTCAATATGGAGAAGATATCCGAAAAACACGTGAAAAAGTTTGGTGCATCAGCGTGTGTTTTCAGAGCTACGATGGAAAGACCTAGAGATGATAAAGTGTACAAGATTAAAGATATTGTTAATGAATTAAACGAACTTTTTGCAAATACAATTCATCAGGTATAAGAAAATACTTCTCTATTTTCGTGCTTTTCCTTCACATAGCTTAAATCAAGAAAATGTTTTTTTTGCACGCAGGTAAAGAAGGCGTGTGATTTAGTCACACCCCTAGAAGACAGAATGCGAATCATGATCTGCTCGAATGAACTCAAGTCCCCCATAAGCACGCAACTATTGCCTGCAATTCGAATGACTTCAAACCGGGTGATGTCCACAATAACGAAATTTTTGTAGAGTAATGAAAACATCCCTTTGGATCAGTCGTTTACTGTTGATGTTGTTGCTGTAAGACAGCCGACAGGGTCCTGTAAAAACATTTTACTTCATTAAAAGTCTTAGATTATAGCAAAGACAGCCTAATTAAAAGGTCAATTATTACTATACGAAATAAGGATAATTTCTGCTGTGCTCGCGCTCTTGTTGTTGCAAAGGCTATAGCGGACAAGAATCCAAAAATCAAACAATTTAAGCAGGGTAAAGCTATTCAGAAGCGAGAAGCTTTGAAATTATTCAAGAAGGCCAATATTTCCTATGGACCTTGTGGAATACGGGAGTTGTCAGAGTTTCAAGGGGTTCTATTAGATTATCAAATTCAGGTTATTGATTTTAATGCTCGAAATACAGTCATTTTTGAGGGGCCCCCAAAACATAAAAAGCTTATTTTATACAAACAAGGTGATCATTACAATGCTATTAACCTTGCGAAACTTCCGGCTTTCCACGGTGAACGTTTCTACTGTGACAAATGCTTTCAGTTCCTCAAAAATGGTTTAAATCACCCTTGTTTTAATGTCTGTATAACGTGCAGACAAAAAGACTGCGTTGAGATTTCAGATGAAAAACATATGTGTTCGGATTGTTTCAAGATTTGTCGCTCTACTGCATGTTTTAATCGGCATAAAAAATCGCGTCGGTCCAAAGGGGTTGACTTGCCATCAATGTGTGACAAGTCGTTTCGATGTCAAATGTGTTCATCTATAGTTGACAAAGACAGACAAAACGAACATTGCTGTGGGGAAACTGTATGTCATATATGCAATAAGTTTGTACTTGATGATCATTTATGTTTCATGCAAACGGAAAACCCAAAACTCAAGAATGATAGTCTAATATTTTACGATTTTGAGACAGATTTTTCAACCGGAGAACATGTGGTTAATTTTGCTGTTGCACAATATTTAGACGGTACAGAATTTGTTTTCAAGGGTTACAACGCATTGAACGAGTTTTGTTCCTTCTTATTTTCAAGAGAACATAAAGGTTTTACAGCAATTGCCCATAATGGCATTTGACGGTGCATTTGACGGTGTTTTCATTCAGAGATGGTTAATTGAATACAGACCGACTGCTGATATACATCTTATAAATTCGGGACAGAAAATTATGCAACTGACAGTGAAAGATCATCAAATCCGTTTAATTGACTCGCTGAACTTTTTACAAATGCCTTTAGCTAAATTTCCTAAAACATTTGGACTCGATGAAACAAAATTTTCCAAAGGTGACTTTCCGCTTTTGTTTAATACAAAAGAAAATCAAAATTATGTTGGCCCGATACCTGATATTAAATATTACAGTCCTGATTCAAAGTTTGAAAAAGATCGCACCAAATTGATTGCGTGGCATGAAGAACGAACGAAAAATAACTTTGTCTTTGATTTCCAAAAGGAAATGGCTAAATACTGCTCTCAAGACGTTATCATACTGCGTTTATGTTGTTTGCAATTTAGGGATTTATTTCTCGCAGAGACTAAAGTTGATCCATTCTGTTATTGTACCATTGCAGCAGCCGTAATGGCAATTTATCGGTCAAAATATCTTCAACCAAACACAATCGGAATCGTACCGAAAAATATGTATCGAAATTCAAATAAGCCCTTCTCTCAAAGCGCAATCGTGTGGCTTGAATTTGTATCTGCGCAAACTAACTGCAAAATACAACACGCTCTCAATGGCGGAGAAAAAAAAGTTGAAGATCCGGAATTAGGTAAAGTGTACTATGTCGACGGCTTTTGTGAAGAAACAAACACTATATTTTCTTTTTATGGTTGTCTTTATCATGCATGCCCATCTTGTTACGATTTAAGAAACGATCATCCCTTTTTTAATGAGAAACAGATGGCTGACGTATTTGATGAAACAATTAGACGACAAAATAGACTTTTACAATTGGGTTACGAGGTTAAGACGATTTGGGAACATGACTATTGTAAACTTAAGGAAACGGACGAAATGAAACATTTTTTGGATACAAATGACATTGTAACGAATCTTGAACCACGCGATGCGTTTTTTGGTGGCAGAGTCAATGGGTTTAAGCTTTTTAGGGACGCCCAACAAGATGAAACAATTGAATATGTTGATTTTACATCGTTGTATCGTTACGTTAACAAAACAAAAGTTTATCCTGTAGGTCATCCAGCAATCATTCGCGAGAATTTTGAAACAATTTCGAATTATTTCGGACTAATAAAATGCAAAGTTTTAGCTCCCAGAAATTTGTATCTTCCAATTTCACCTGCACGAATAAAGGATAAACTCTTTTTTCCTCTATGTAAACAGTGTGTTGTACAAAACTCTTCAGTGTGTACTCATTCGGAAAATGAGCGTGCTTTTTGGGGTACTTTTACCACAGTTGAAGTGCTGAAAGCTATCGAAAAAGGATATAAGGTTATTGAAATTTTTGAAATTTGGCACTTTGAAAACACAAGCTCGGATTTGTTTTCGGATTATGTGAATTATTTTCTCCGTATAAAACAAGAGAGTTCAGGATTTCCGAGTCGTATACAAACTCCAGAGAACAGACAGAAATACGTGGCCGACTATTATGAAAACGAGGGAATGCTGTTAAGGCATGATAAAATAGATTACAATCCAGGCTTAAGAGCATTGGCTAAGCTATGCCTTAACAGCTTGTGGGGTAAATTTTGTCAAAAAGACAATCTACTAAATACAGAATTCATTAATGATCCTCTACATTTCTACAGACGTTTGAACGGGGCCGACATTGAAATGCACGATCTTTGCATCTTGAATGATGATTAATTTAGTCGAAATTGTCTTTAAGAGAAAGCATGAGTATGAAGTAGAAAACAAACTAACAAATATCTTCATAGGAATTTTTACCACTGCATGGGCTAGATTAGAACTTTACAATGTGATGGATTTGTTACAAGGTAGCCTTTTATATTGCGATACAGACAGTTGTATTTATGTAAATAAACCGGGGGGTCCAAGGCCAATCTTAGGGGATTACCTGGGTAATTTAACAAACGAAATCACTCAAGAACATGGGGTAGGTAGTTACATTACAAGATTTGCATGTGGGGGTCCAAAAAAATACGCGTACGTTGTAAATAATGGGAAAAAACATTGTAAGATACGAGGTTTTACTTTGAATTTTAAAAATAGTCAAATTCTTAATTTTGATTCTATGTATAAAATGGTATGTAACTATGTACGTTCAGACTTATGAAGTCTGATGATGTCTTTGGAATAAAGACGAAATATTACACATTATTTTGTTTCAAACTCTTGTAATATCTTGAATATCAAGAAAACGAGATGTCCCTCTTCGGAATTTGCTTTACTTTGTATTACAGGGTAAACGGCTGGGCTTTTTTTCAGTGCAACTTCGTGAGACATAGCTCTACTAGGATTCACTTTAACTTTGCGAACTTTTAGATAAACATCCACCAGTTTCACTTTAAATGCTGCATCGTCCTCGGATGCCATTAGGGCAAACTCGTCACTGGTACGGTTCAATACCACTTTCAAATCAACATAGCTAAGCAGGAGGCGTTCACCGAAGAAAACATCACAAAATATAGGCCCTCCCATTTCGACAATTGCACTTCTCGCACTAAACTTACTTCGTGTTTTCAAGCCATTGTTTGGACTGGCGTTTGCTGGGTCGGCAACCTCCATTTTTGAGGCTTCGTCCTTGTAAAACAACGCAGCTGTCAGCTGGGATTGTTTAGCTGATGGACCATAATTCAAAAGTGTATCGATATATGCACGATAAAGATAAGTTCCTGTCGCTTGGGTTACTAGCTTCCCTTTCAAAAACACATCAACTTGCTTAAACAAACTATGCAAGAAATTGTTGACCGGTTTCTTTTGCTGCTTGATTACTTTAGCGCCATCGTCGAGATTTCCACCGTCAGCTTTCGTTACTTTTGCTCTGACCATCAACATTGTGTTAGACAAGTCAACATAATCTTCTGTACCTGGCGCTAAAAAGGTAATCGGACCGCTTTCAGATACACTAGAGACAGGTGGATGGTCTATCCATCGCCCCTTTTCCAAACTGGTTTTCGTTGGGGGTACGAGAAATATATCAAGTTCACTTTTTGTACATTCTGCTGATTTTGGATGAACGAACTCCATATTTAACCGAAAATATCTTCTGCTTCTTTAGCTGCTTTATGTCTCTTGGCTGAATGGTAAATGACATGAAAAGACGATGCTTTTCTCTTTTTAGCTGTTTTTTTTTGCCTGTTTCTTCTGGGGTTTTCCTCTTCCTGTTTGAGCAAACTGTTGTATACGGTTTACAGCTTTTTTCCCTGTTTCTTTTGCTGCTTGATTAACACGAGATTTTGCAGACTTTTTAAAACTTTTCCCTGAGATAACATCACCCAAAACGTTTGCACCTGTATCGAGGGCAATTTTACCTAGAGCTTTTGCGCCGGTTTTTGCCAAAGGTATTGCAGCTCTAGCCAATCTACGAAATAAAACCAAGACCATAACCCATCTGCCCATAACCTTTTTGCCAGGATGCTCCTCTAAAGACAGGTTGTGATCCGTATCCTTTTTGCTGATCGAGATAATATTGAACATAACGGTTTGTTCTACTCATATTTTTTTCTTATGTAAAATAAGATAAGGATTGTTTTCTGAAATGAAGTGTCACTATCGACTTCCCTCGTTCAAATGCGATGGGATTTCCTAACTCGTCCCTTAAGAGAATTTCGATGTCCTCAAAAGATTTTGTTTGCACGGGTAAGTATTGGATATTAGTGAATGTTCTTGAAACAATGTCTCCATATTTTCCTTGAATAGCAACTGCCTTTAGTAATTTTACATTGACGTCTCCAACAACTTGCGGTTGTACAATGTTGCAATATACATACATCATGACGGATCCGTGCAAATCACAAGCATAAGGACTTTCGGTTGTTTTTAAAATCTCTACGTCTTTTCCGCCAAAGCCGAGTAAGACCGACATTCGTTGATTAAATGATATTTTGTAACCCTGTCTTACATGCACTTTAATTTTTTCTGTTCGCGGGTCAAAGCTCAATTTGATATTGTCTTTTACTTCTTTGTCAAGAGTCTCGTTAACTGATTTTACTAGGTCGAAGGCTTTTTCATACAAGCCATAGTCGACAAATATCGGAGTAGGTAGACCTGTTTTGTGAGTTACATATATATGTGTATCCAAACCTTTTTTCAACGTGTACCATGTATGAGGATATGTAATTGAATACAATCCTACTTCCCAATTACCATTTAAATTCACAACGTGAGGTAGTTTTACGCAATAACCTGAAATCTTATTCTCAGGAAATACAGAGAGCGATGCATTAATAGGTAATGTCAGATAGAAGTGTGTCCCGCTCATCTTTAAGGTATAATGTGAAATGAAAAAATCGTGAAAACGGTTACGTTTTATACATGTATTTCCGATGCTGGTACCCATGAATTAAATTTGTTAGGGTAGCCAGACCACTTTACAAAATATTGTACATTGCCCCCTCTACCACGTTTCTTAAGTATTTTTCAATCTCATAAACATCGTCTTTCTTGATGACTTTTGAAGTTCTTTTCATAAAATGTTCCTTGAAGTTCGTCCCTTCATGATCTTTCAGTCTGTATACAGGAGGATTGCGCGGTATTTTTTGACTTACAGTGAAAATTTCTTTTGAAAAATTCGGTAAATACCCCTTCTCAAACCTTCGTTTTATTTTACTTATTCGTACTTGGTTACCTATATCAAACTTATATTTTACATGCATAGGTTTATTTAATTTGCTATCCCCGTATAGATTTTGCCGAATTCTATCTTCATTTTCACTTGTAACGTTGATCGGTTTTTCCTTAATGCTGCGATGCATGCTATGATTATAAGAATACAGTAGATCAGGAAGCATGTCAATGTATCTCATGGTTTTGTTTGCTGTGAAGTAGCGCCACATTTTAGTTTTCAGTGTACGTATCAAACGTTCAACGATGGATGCCTTCGTCTCGTTAAATGTATTAAATAAGGTAACGTTTTCTTCTGCCAAAAGTTTCTTAAAGTCTCGATTAAAAAACTCCGAGCCTTGATCCGTTTGAATGTGTGTCGGTTTACGCCCTGATGACAAATCTTTTTAAAAGCTTCTACCAACGACGATCCTGTTTTCTTTTTTAATGGAACAGCCCATGCATATTTGGATAAAACATCAATACAGATAAGAAGATAGCGATAACCATAATTATACTTTTGCAAAGATTGCATGTCTGCAAGATCCAATTGCCACTGGTCGTCAATACCACTCACTACGACGCGATTTCTTTCAAACTTTCTTCGAATAGGTTTATGCAAAGAGTATGCGTCTTGTTGCATGAGCCATTCTTTAATTCTTTCACGACTAATGTCATATATTCCTTCTGCCTTTACATCGCGGTACAAACGTTCAACACCTCCGTAGCTTCCAGGACGTTTTGGATTGAAGTATACACCGGCTAAGTACTGGTCAACGTTACTCATGATAATGTTCTCGTAATAATAATTTGCAATTAGATGTCAATTTCTTTTAACTACTCATTATCGACGGGTTCAACGTTTTCAGTTACAGGCAGTGTTTCTTCTATCACATTATCTGTTGGAAGTTTATTTGCGGCGGGTCCATAATTTTTAACAGTTTTACTTGTGTATCCTGCTTGCAAATGACCCTCAAGATTGAGATCGTTGCGTCCGAAACTTATACCCAAGCGAAACATTTTCTGACGATTATGATTTTTATCCCTTTTTGCATTTCTATTTTCACGTTTGCTGCCGATTCCCATTTTCACAATGACATGGTCATAAAACAACTGAAGTCAAAATGCAATAACATTGAAATTTATATTTTTATTTTTCTTTTGTCAAAGCAATTACATAGTTGATTTGTATTTCAGTTTACAACTACAATCAGCATAGTCAAAGAGATGTTGAAAAAAAGGAGGACGTTTTGTCTCCGTGTAAATTAACATTAGTTCTACCCAAGTAGCACTAAACAGTTTGTCAAAATATGTCTTGTGAGAGTTCGAAGGTCCACAGTTCTTTAGAAACTTAAAGGCTTCACATATTCCATTCCAGACATGTTCGCGATTAATTGTTTCGACTGCTCGAGCTGCAAAATTGAACCAACGATCTTCCTCAGTCATCATTTCTAAAACGTTTTGATACTCTACCCAAGGATCTGCTTTACTTTCATCCTTTTCAGCTCTTCGTAGCTCTTGAATCTTTTTACTTATAAAATCGACGAAAATCAAATTGATAAGATCGCTGTGACTAACTTCTTCAAACTCAACAGTGTCTGCATATATCTGATTAAACATGTGTGCCATATTTTTGTCTTTTTCAAAACGTCCAAAAGCAATGCAATAATGAACAACGCAAATAACATTTTTTAAGACGATAGTTCGACTATATAGTGAATCGTGTAATGAAATACACAATGAGGGCTTTAAGACATTTTATTGGATGCTTTAATAAATTAGATAATATTTCTTGTCAATTGTTTCATTTCCCTTCATTATGATAACCTATCACATTCAACATTCCCCCGCTAAGTTCGTTTCCGGTTTACACGCGCGCGCCCTGTTTACTTCCTAGGACTGGAAACTAATTGACACGGGTAAGAGCTCCGTTTACTTCCAGGACCATACCTGCACCTTAACTACTATCGTGTAATTGGTTCGTTTAAATTTTTGTCTTACTGTGATTGGTTTGACCGATTTCGACTGATAGCCAACTGAACTAACATGGTCAAGCTCACTGTCTGAATTGAATGTTTGATCGTTTAATACTAATTTTCTAAATCATGATAGAAATTATACTACTATTAGATGGAATTTATGGAACTCTTTTACAAATTCATATATTGACATGAATGCTGCTTTCCAAACTGGGAATTTTTTCAAGAGGGCGAAAAATTTATGGATGAATTGTAAATGCTTGGCAAAGACGATCTCGCGAGCGACATTTCAGTCATTGATGTTCAAAAGCAAGCCAACATTGTTTTGAGTTTTATCAGTAGAAATTTACATCCAAAATCGTAAGTAAAGGACAACTGAAGTGTATGCATGAATGTAATATATCAAAGTCAATTTATGCGAGTGTGTGATGCGATTTATGTTAATATGGCGTATGGTAAGCAGATTGATGCTTCTAAAATTGTTGTTGCCGAAGGACTTTTAGCTATGATTTCTTTAATGCTTGGGGAATCGTGACCGTTATATGGCAGCAAAATCCTACATTCCTGCAAATATATTTCAATGGACAAAAAATCTGTAGCCATAAGGCGCCATACTATTATTTACTTTATCATAAACAAATGTTTGGGGCTTTTCAGTTTATGATCATTGATCATTCAATCATTAGACAGATATACTACATATTGCTTAAGATTTGAGAAAACTATCATTGATTACATGAGAAGCTGTTTACTATAACCTGTGATTTTGAGTGTTCTGATCCATGAAGCTTTTTATTTTGACAATTTGACTGGAATGGTATTAAACCTTAGTATTTCACATACATGAAATGTTGTCCCATGTCACATATTGTCCCCTTTTCTAACTGAACACCTCATGTAGAGATGTAAAGAAGTGTTAATCTACGGCTCATACCAGATTGTTTGCCATAAATTCCAAAGGACTATTGACAGCGGCGTAGCTAGGAAAAATAGTCACTCCCGCCAATGCATCTCGCGCCGGAGGCGCGACCCCACTAGGGGGGTCCGGGGGCATGCTCCCCCGTAAAATTTTGAAATCCAGAGCCTTGGAAACAGCATTTCCTGCGATTTCGAGGGCGAATTATTTGTTGTACAATAATTTATAAAAACCCATTTTTGTTAGCTGCATTCTTAATGTGGCAATCGTTGAAACTGCAACTAGTTAAAAAGGTACTAAAGATGGCTCAGAGAAACGTTACGCAGGAGACAATTGTCCCCTAAAACATAATTAACTCATCACTGCCCCTGCATAAACAGAAGAAATTTGTATTAGCACAAAAAATAATGTAGTATACGACACTTCTAAAGTGAATAGAGAGAGATTTTTCTTAGCATTCTACTTGTTACTTTAAACTTGTTTAGATTGGGGCAAGTAGACAGGGATGGCTTTATTCTTTAAAGTTATGC